TACCAGAGTAGTGTTCGGCTGCACTGGCTCGCTAGGTAATCGGAAGAGAACGCATACCCTCATTCCGAAACTGGACTTGAATTTTCTGTGAAAAAGTATATCCCTTGTGGAACACCAAAAGAGGGAATTTCGGTAACAGTTGAGCCGGAACCTCTATTCATCACTGGTTGATCCGTTTTGCTGCTGACAATACGTTGTAGAAGCATTGTGAACTCGATCTAAGGAAAACGACACTGGGTCTTGTTGAAGGAAACCTCAAGGATAGCACGCGCCTTATTACGACGAAATGCAAAACGCAAAAGATTCCTCTAGGTAGGATCTTGTAGATTTCGCATGATACTTTTGGGGATCCTAATTTCTGAGAATCTTATTGCACGGTTCAGCGGGTTACTGGCACAAAAATCGCTATGGCTAGGCCACTATTAAATGGCCAATCCGATGAGGCTTTGTGACTTTTCTAGAAGAAATTTTGGCCTCGGGTGGTGTCAGTTGAATCATCATAAATCTTGTGACGATTTAAGTGATAAGCCGAAACCAATGAGTGCATGATGCTTGGCAGTGAAGAGTTCTAATGCGTTAACGTAAGGAGGCATTGTGCTAAAGAAAAACATTGAAGTAAATGCATGTACTCCCTAAACAAACGAAATGCGATCATTCTTCCAGACAAGACTGCAAGGAGAAGCCCATCCCTCTGGGTCCAATTAACCCCCGTAAGGTGAGTATTAATTATGAATTATTACTATACAGTGAAACTAGCGAAATACACTCATTTGCATACCAATTTGGTTTTGACGATGGACTCCCTGGAACTCAGCTGAATCTCTTGTTTATGTCGAGGAGTTTTCAACAATCTTATGAGTAGTGCATTACGCCTACACTGTGAGACGCTCAATCCCGATGGGGTCACTCCACGACACTCAAAATTCCATGCTTTTGTCCTCCGATTTTACGGCGAAGGCCTAAAAGCTTGCCATGTATCAGATTGTACAAAAAACCCAGAGGTCCCAAAAAATAAGGCAACTCTGGATGACGTGAGGTTGAAAAATAGTCTAAACAGGAATGATCTGTAAACCTCTCGAAGTTTGGTCGAAATACATCAAGCTGGAGCATCAACTCGAACTCCCGAAAACATTCGACTCGGACAGCACTCATCGTGTATTGTCACCTTAGGAGACAACATCCTGGATGCTAATAAAGCTCCAATATGCACCATTTTGGCGTCCGTGGCGCTATCGGGCCGCTTACTCCTGGCAGGTGAGTTCGACCCGAGATTTCGTCCCATAGATGAAATTCATCTATGCCAGAAAGCCTAGAACTGGACTCATCAGCACCGCGCATCCCACTAAGCTTCCTGAGGGACTAAGTGTTCGAACTAACCGCCGAGAAATCCTGGGTTCGAAACTCTGAAGGTTTCGAAAGATGCGCAGTTCTGATGATTCCCAACAAGGATGAAACAGTTATAAAGAGCTCCTCGGCTTTTTCAGGACAGGCTGGTCTCACTGACAACAAAAGTTCATGTCAAAAATTCTAAAATCCCTAAACACCAACAAAATCCGGGATAATCAATGGGTAGTCGTTCAAAGCGTCGCACAAAATGATCACAACACTCAATTTGCGGACATTTCCGTGTGTTTAGACGTCGTAACTCAGATGTGCCTAGCAGGTGTTAACGGGATAGTGGTAACACGTTTACCTCGCATATAAATGGAAATAAGATAATGACATAACCAGAGCTTCCCCCTTTGATGGGCTGAACAGAATAAATGCACCTGGACAAGAGAAAGGCAGTTTGATCACGGCATAACTCATATTGACAATAATTTGATGAAACTAAATTGCTAATGAGATTAATTTGTCCAGTAAAAAAGGAAGCAAACACAAAGGTTAGTGAGCTCGACAAATGTTCTGCCGAAAAGACCAAGCTTTTCAGAATGTACCGTACATAACAGATCATTTTTCGGATCATTTCTGTATGCTTCCACAATTTTCTGTGCACCTTTAAGCAACCTGAAACGTTCCCATAGAGGTGTCCCCTCACATACCGAGTAAGATACTCACTGACCCGTCCCCGCACCCCAAACTGAGATCACTTCTTTCAAGAGTCTATACCAGCGCTCCCCCTCAGCCAAGACCTAGCATGACTATTGGCCACCTTCCTTCGTGAGGCTCTCTGTTCGAATACGACTATGCAGCAATCGTCAAGAGTGCATTTTAACAGAGGCATGCATAAGCCACATCTTACCATTTCAGAAAGTGCTTCGAGTAGTCGAATCGAAACAGATGGTCGTCATCCTCCACATAGTTCTCATACAGCAAATCATAGAGCTCTTGGAGCTGAGGGAAAAAGTAGACGGAAACACAGGGAGAAAAAAAAGATGAGAAAAAACATCGAAAGGGAATTCAATATACAAACGGTTATGATTAGGACCTTACAAACTTTTCCCGATAGCGCTTTCACTACCTACCTGGAATACAACAACAAGAAAGTATGCATTTTATAAGTGTCAGTAAGCAATGGCTACGCGGCCGACAAAACCGACGGCCATTGTCGTGTCCCACTTGAAATTTCACTAATTAAAGCGTAAGAGTACACTGATGGAAAAGGAAAATAACCATCTCGGAAGGTGTCACACGAAGCTGGCCGGAATCAGCAACAGCCCAAAGACACTACTCACAAGGTTGCCAACTGAATCATGAAGCGGCCTGTGTGTAGCATATTCAGTTGTAGAATATCATAAATGAGAGATTCATTTGATTCTCTCGTGAGAACCAAATTGATTTGCTGTATTGATTGCTGTATTTCTCGAGCCCAGAGACACCTTATAGACTTCATTTGGTGTCGTTTCACCTACTCTACACTCTCTTTTAAATTGGTTTTCATTACCCACGTGTTTAAGATCGATCACGTTCTGGATATTTAGTCCGGAAGCAGTCGCTGTTAGAACTTGAGCAACCAGTTCGTCAGCCTTCATTCAGAAATCGACTTTTGGATTTAGGTGTCTGTAAAACAATCTAGCGCTTCCATTCACGGACCTGGTCGTATACTGACTAGCGGACTGGTTTTGTTCCACCGGTATTGCGCGGCTTTGAAAGCCGCACACAAAATTACCGATGCCTTGTATCGGTTGTCACTCTATCTCCAAAAGCTCTGGTCCAATCAACCCGGTCCAGGTTTTCCATTCAAACCGTTCAGTCAAAAAGCGGATGCGTACAATCGGTGTTACCGGTTTCCAAGCGAAATGTCAATCAATTAAAGAATCTCGTCTGCTCCCTTATTCAAACGAACCCTGCTGATGTGCATAACTGGTCGAACCAGGGGTCCGAATCGGCCGTTAATTTCAAGAGTACAACACTTAGGAATATAGCCCATTTGCTTAACAGCGGCTTGATAGGTTAGGTAAGATCTTGATGGTAGAAGACAAGGATTGCTAGGAAAGTCGGCTTCAAATGTTCCTTGGTGGTAATTATCAAAAAATGCGCACTGAATGGTTTTTCAGGGAGTCAGCAGGAACAGAGCTGGCGGGGTTTGAACGTGAACCGAATCTAGATTATAGAACCAAGAGAGGTCTCTTACGAACGCCGAATCAAGCAACTTTTCAGAACTGATTGGAGGACATCAACGTAAAATGAGTCACATGCGGGAATGCTCCCGCAAGACTTAGTCAGAGATCCCGCATGCAGTAGTTTACAAGTATTGTGAACTTACCTGTATGTCATTATTGAGAGATATCTCACACCAAGAAAATCCCCCAGGTACACTGTACGGTTCTTTGCGGATGGCCTCGTGTGGTTTATCCGGTTCGATGCAACAGTTTTCCGAAATGTTTTCGTCTGCACAGGAGAAAAAATGGATGGAAATCCACTGTTAGTTAAAACTCTGTTAAATGCGGCAACCCAAGCAAGAAAACAACGTATGTGACAACTGTTGTAGAGAGGTGAGATGAGAAGAGGGGGGTAAATCGAATATGTGTGGTATTTTCTGCGCGCAAACACACACTAAAACAACTGACAGTGAATAGTGTGCACATCAGGGATCACCGATGCTGCTTCAGCGTCTGAAACAGCAAGACGAAATCGTCGTGGTGATCTAAATCTATTTATCATGCGGGGGCTCAAACCGGGCACAATCTGGTCAGGAATCCAGATCCATGTAACAATAATCAGGCCGTACATTTTTTCGCAAGCCCTTACGATAAGTATGGTTGTTCACAAGGCGTCGTCCAGACAATCGTTTGAAGCTACACCTTCAATCTGAACCAAACAAAAGTTGAAGTCAGAGGATAAGCTGATTCGACTAGTGGGTGGCTCCAAATAGGTACATTTATTCGGTAGTGAGTTTTGCTATACCAAGTGGAGTAAACATATGATGAAAAGCCTTCCTGTCGCCTATAACGAGAGGAGGGAGGTCTCGACGATCGAAACGGAATTATTGACTCTCGTATAGACGCTCCAAAACTCTTAGAGGACATGCAGTGAGCCGGATAATCCAGGTGGAAAATGCCTCCAACAAAAGGCTGAAAGTTCCGCATTTTGTCACAATTCTTAGCAGTTCAGACAACTGTCCAAAAAACTCTACCCTCTGTGCCGCGGTCAATGAACCTTAGGCTCCGTAGAAAAAACGTAACAGGAATGTAGTAAGCCGCTTCAGAGGGCTCTCCGAAGAGGGGTCATCATCACTAGTCAAGGTGTAGTTAACGATCTCGCGAATGAAGAACTACTCCGTCTCGAGGGATAGGCCTATTACCTTCCTTCACTAGGACAAATGCTCTTAGGACAACTCACCTTGAAGAAATATAAGGGATATACGTTCGGTGCACTCCACAGCAAGCCAAACAGACTTACCGCGTTACTGACATTTCGCTCGGCGTACACATTAGAATACATATACATTTCAATCGAGTACATCACTCACTTAGATCTGGCACTGGCTGAGTGCGCCAGAATTGATAGTCCTCCTTGCACTTCTTTTCCTTCGTATCTCCTGCCCGGAGTGTGTCTGCACCGGATACAAGCATGGCCGTGGTAAGACGTTTCAACAGCTTCTCGTTCACCCCATTGTCAAGCAAAGCGAGCTTTCCCTGTCCATCAGCTTGTGCTACATCGCCAGACTCTAACGATCCAGGCTGTTCTTGCTCAGGGTCGGCAGGAGTTGGTTTCTTTTTGTGGGAGCGTTTGGATTTCTGTATCAATGAATGAAAGACGAGTGAACAGGAGGTTGAAGAGGAGGATTAGAAGAAGAGAATTTGTGCACTGCAGTAGTCAGTCAGTGAATGATCTGACCGCAAAGCGATTACAAGTTAACGTATCAGTGTTTTTCTCACTCAGTCGCACACAAGTAAGTGGAACTCCGGTTACCTGAAATGCATGACATGTTGATAACACCATCAAGGCAAGAATATTTTCACCGGTGAAGACGTGATTCTTCAGCTACATCAAGGGTCTTATTGTGAAGCAATGTTTGGCCCGTACGTAAGACGACCGGAGCACGGTTCGAGACACCTCAACAGTTCAGACGCGAGCTAATAACCTAGATGATTGACGGCTCTAACCCAATCCCGACTTCTATCCAGTATCTCAGTCTGAATCATCCCTTCGGATGATTCCTACGACAGCTGTACACCGAGTGTCCCAACTGAATGCATCGCTTGTTACCGTAATGGTGCCAAAAAGCCAAACTCAGACACTGGCCACAAATAAAAGACCAGTAAGACATTTTACCTCACGATGAATGCCATAACAAAACTATCGCACAATAGCTGCTTATTTTAGGACACCTTAGGGTTCTTCTTAAATAGGGTATCCAATGCTGGGTACAGACAAGTGAACTTTCACGATTTTCAGCGAATCCCCAGTTCGTCATCATATGACATGACATATGTCATCATATATATCATCATCATCATATATATCATCATCATATATGAAAGTTGAGTTGCAAAATACGACACTGGAAACGTAATCTGCCAAGCCCCAGAGAAGACAAGACCTACAACAGAGCCTTTTTCACTATAACTTTTGGGGAGATTATGCCAAATTCAGTGACTACCATGCCCATGTTATATAACATCTCGTATAGTAACATCCCTGTAAAATAAAAAGACAAACAAGCAAAACCCTCCAGAAAGGTCGCTGCGAATCAATAGCCACACTTCCGACGAATAGTAGAGACATTCAGTAATTTGTGTACTACTTAATGCAAAAATGAAAATTTGCCAAAAAAAAGCTGAAAATTTTGCCATCAAACATGCTGATAGAGTTCTACGAGTACCGATAACTTGGACAACCGGTTACACAGGTCTTAGCTTGAGAATATCTCCCAGGATAAAGCCCATCCTCGGGAAGAGGCCATAAATGCGCCTGTCTTCAGAGACAGTGCTGTATTGAGCCCTGCAGTGATCTTTACAGTAACCTAGACGTTGGTGTCGTCCAGGTGAATCCGTGTGTAGATAGGTTACAGAACTCCGGCAACAAGCATAGCCCCTTGAAGATTCAATCGTTACAGCATCCATCCGGAAAACGAGAAACCGGCGTTTCCCGTCTACCCCTAGTTAGTTCTTTTCATCGCGTCAAGTGCGTTTGGACTATAACAACGGAAAATCAGGGAACGACTGACCGCTAGCCGCCTTGGAGACCTCAGTCCGCAGTGTATTTAATCGAAAAAGCCATATTAGGATGAAACTCACAGCACCACTGCGTGGGCATACATACAAGTACAATCATGCAGATACTAACATGCGACATCAAACACATTGAGGGAAAAACAAAAAACAACAAAGGACTCACATTCTTTGAGGTCTGGGTGTGCTCTGGTGGCAAGGACATGCTGAACGCTGTTCAGTATTATAAAGAGCGTAACGGATGAATATACAAGGCGCTGAAAATGAAAAAAACTCTTCAGATAGCAAACGTCCACTTGATGCACTCGTTGTGGGAACGCGGAACTGTGAACACCCTGTATCTACTATCATTCTCAAAAGATCAACGACCAAAATCAACTAAAGAACTTTCAGCATTCCCTGCAATAGGCCAATTCTACGGCCCAAGAGGCTCTATGTGGAAGAATTTTGCACAATAACTTGTGGTAAAAAACCGCTTTTTCTTTTGTTAATAGATAGCTGCTATCGAATGAATCGGAAGCGTTATCAATCAGCCGTAGCAACGTTTCGGTGCCTAACTGCCATGCCACCCGAGTAGCCACGAGAAGCCGATGGATTAACAAAAAGATGTAAGGACAAGCATGTGAAGATGGTGTTTCTCATGAGTTTGATGGAAGGAATGATCCTCTAGATCGAAAATAAAGATCATTATGCTGGCACATATACCAGTATATGACGTCAGCTAAACGATAGTGAAAAATTCAGAAGAAACTCGAGACCAGTGAAAAGCCACTAACAAAAACAAACGCACTGCTGAGTCCAGTTCTATCTCATGTCGGTGGACTCACCTAATCACAAATGTTCACTATATTTTGCATCCCAATAGGAATTTGAGTTGGTCCAGTAAAGAAAATCAGGCGCTTTGTTTTCCATGATATTCATCCATGTTTTCAGAAGACAACCACGACACATCCAATTCCAAATCCGGTAAACCAAACGGAGGGACTCTAGGTATTCGATGAGGTGCATTCTCAGGGTAGGACTCAGTCAAGGAAATCGTATGGAGGAAACCACATGTTGCAATTGTTGCCACATGAGACGCTGTCCAAACAATGTTACCAGCAAGAGTGGGAAATGCTCCATAAAGAGAGATAGTCGGTGACTGCAGATCTTCACTATCTTCTTTGTATACGTAGAGAAGTAATGGTGTAACACGTGAGCAGAAAATTCGCCCCTTAGTGCAAGCTCATGAGATGACTGCGACTGTGTCCTTCGTACTTCGCTGTGATCCGCAGAATAAGCACATGGTATGGAGTGACTCAAAGTTGACAAATGATCGTGAAGGCCAGGCTCTAGTGCTGCAATGATCCTGTGGGCCACGTTGGCTGGAGTTCAATTCGACCACGCCAAGAAGTCCAACACGGAGCAGTCCGATGAAAAGCAGCAAGTCTCCACGCTGCAGAAATCGCACTAAGAGGCGGTCTAAGAGGCAAAATCGCACTGTCATCTGCAGTAGGAGCGTGGAGGAAGTAAGGCGTTTCCTTCAGAGGGCCAGCTGGTGCCAAATACCACACACTCCGATCGCTCAACGGTGAATTACCCACACAGAAAAGAAAACCCTTCATCATCATCATCAT